TTCCCTTCCTTTCCTCACTTAAATCCTTTCACAGACTCTTCTGAAGACTTCCGGGGAAGTTCAACGTCCCCAGTCTGCTGTTCAAGGCCCTGCCAGCTCCACTTCCAACCTGATCTCAGCCCTTCACCATCCCCCACAGCCTATTGCAGTCTCAAGACTGTCTCACTCCAGGCCTCAAACCTTACTGCTTACTTCTCTTTTTCTAGGTCTTTGCCTATGCTCATCCTTTCACCTAGACAACCTTTCTCTCTCCGATTCATTTCTTAAGCCTTTTCAGAGAAGTCTTTCCTGAATACCAGTCTGAGTGAAGGGCTATCTGTGAGTCCTTATGGTTTCAGTCCATCAGAGCCCTTCCTTCATGGTATGCAAAAATTAAGGAGTAGCTTGAAGGTTTTTAATTTCAGTGCCCCTAGCCTAGTGCCTAGTTCCTGTGAGTCAATGAATAACTTTTTTGTCAATGAGTAAATGATTAATAGAGAGAAAGAAGAAAAGAAAGGATGAAAGGAGGATAGAAGGGGGAGCAGGGAGGGAAGGAGGAAGAAAAAGAGAAAAGAACAGCTGGAAGAATGAAATCATCTATAACTCTTTGTTTCAAACCCCCAATATATGTCTATAATGCCCTCTAGTGACTGACAGGTTGACTGTAGGGTTTAGAGGCTGCTGGGCCAATTAGCAGAAATGTACTGAGTACATTTCAATATGTGAAATGTTTATTTAGTATTGGGTACTCAATGAACTCACAGTCTAATAGAGCCATAGCATGGGCAAAAGGGAAAAAAAATCACTACATTCTGAGTGTCATATAAAGCGAACAGCCAGGCAAAGTAGGACAGGGTAAGAGTGTAGGAATACACACTGCAGCTCTGCCAGTCCCTAGATGGGCACATTTTCTAGCCTCCCTAGACCTGTTTTCTCATTCATAAAAACCAGAGGTCATAGCACCTACTCGTTAGAGTTGTTGGAAGAGTTAAAGGAGAACATGTTTGCTTCAGCTTCTTTATACAGCAGACCTTCAACAAAAGTTACTGTCCTTCCTTTTTACCTGCCTTGCTCTCTCATTATTCTGAAACTCCCCCTAGGACCTGTTAAAACTGAGTTGGAGTGAGGGGGGCATCTCCATCCATATCTGGAGTGTTGGCATATGTCAGTGGGATGGCAGAAATGCATGGTCTTGCCTTTAAAAGGTTAGTAACTTCCAGGGAGTCTATATGGTATCCAGGAAAGCATCTCCTGGAAACTGGACCATCTCCTCAGCAGGGTATGAAGAGTTAGGTTTGTATGTAGCTGAAGCATCACTCTCCTTAGTCTAACCACGGTCTGAACCCCAGACTGTGTTCTTACAGCTATTAGTTGTAAGATTATTAGAAAGAATCATGTTATTCTCTACTGCCTATGACTTCAATTGCTAGCTATAGACTATAGGTTATAGCCCCAACTCTGGATCAAGACACACAAAGTCCCCTAATATCTGAGTTCTCCTCTCCCAATACAGCCCTCTTCACTCTACTCCAACTACACTGAGCTTTCAGATGAACCATGTTTTAGTCCATGATCTGTTGCTTAGTAACAGATACCTACAACAGTGATTTCTAGGAATAGAGCCTTATTTAGCCCATGACTTTGGAGGCTGAGAAGCCCAAGAGCACGGTGCCAACATCTGGCAAGAATATCTTCTTCCTGGATCACAACATGGCAGTGGGTAGAGCGCATACATCTATGTCCTTGTCTGCATCTCCTTATAAACCCACAATTATCAACCAGGGAGCCCCACCCTTCCGCCTAATCACTTCCCAAAGGCGCTACATTTCAACATTATAATTGGATTAAGTCTCCACCCTCTCAGAACTGTTCTGAGCCACATGATATTTCAATACATGAATTTTGGTGGGACGCATGCAAACCATAGTAACAATGGTCTTCGAAATGCCATGTTCTCTAAGACTTCTGGGCCTTTATGCTAGTCCCTCTGCCTGGGACACTCTGTCCCCAGTTCAGTGCTGGCAAAGATATCTTCATTTTCTATGAACCAACTCAAGCATCAACTCCCCTGAATGTGAGTTAGCTCCCTCCTTGGTGTTCCCTTCAAAGCCCTCATCCCTCACTGTGAACATTTCCCATTTGACTCTGAGCATAACAAGAGCAGAAACTGTCTTATCCAATGCTGAATTCTCCAGTCCTTGCACAGGGTCCAAAACCCAATAGGTGTTTCGTTAAGGCTATTGGATTAAATTGAACCACTGAGTCCCAGGGAGCTGTCCCAGTAAGTTCCCCTGACTGCTGGTACAGACATGTTTGCCTGAACCACGCCTGAGAATTGTTGTCACACTAAGTCATACCTGTCCAGCTGGACCATCCTGAGCCCACTTCAGAACCGCATGTTATGAGAAAGGAAGAGTCAAAGTCAAAGGGATGTGGCCAGAGGAAGCAGAGCCAGAGCAAAGGCTCAAGTTAAAGTCAAGGCAGAAGAAATGGTTGCTATAAATATTGGGCTACACACTAAATGTGTTCTCTTAAACATTTTGCATAATACCTATCATGAGCCAGGTATGCCCCCAAGTGCCTCAGTAAACTACTCTGACAATTTGCACAACCACCGGGGGGTGGGGGGTGGGGGGGCTGGTCCTATTGTCATCCCCTTTTTACATATGGGGAAACTGAGGCACAAGAAGATCATGTAACTTGCCCAAGGTCATAAAGCCAGTAAGTGATAAAGCTCTTTGCTAATGACAATGTAGGTCCAGAAAGGGGTAAAGAAGAGATTCTTTCAGAGACAAAAATCATTAAGAGAAGGTAGTGCGTTGTGTGAGGACTGAGCAGGCCAACCTGCTTGGCCATCCATTTACTCACTCATTCCATAAGACGTCCATCTGTGCCTGGCTCTGGGTGAGGCTCTGGAATTACAGTAATGAACAAACAGGTTCTGCCTCTGGCCTTATGGTGCTCAGGGTGCAGAAGGAATCAGAAAAATACTTACACAAGTAAGTAAATGAGTATACACCATGGACAGTGCCAGGGGAGCAAAGTCTACAGCATCATGGCGAGAACAGGGCATCTACTAGATGTCAGGAAATGGCATTTGGGCTGAGGAAAGAAAGACGAGTTAGCCAAGGGAGGATGGAGGGAGGAGAGTTCCAGGCAGAGCAAGCAACGTGCGCAAAAGTCTAGAGGCAGGAAGGAGTCCGGACAGTCAAGGGGCTGGATAAAAGCCAGTGCGGCAGAGGCACACAAAATGCAGTCGGAGCGGTAGGCAAGGGCCAGATCATGTGTGACTTTAGAGCAGGATGTGCTGGGAGGAGAACGGCGGGTGTTAGAAAAGGAAGTCTGAGGCAGGTCTTGAATGCCACACTTTCAAGTTGGGACTTTATCTTTGAGGTACAAGGAAGCCAAGACAGGATTTGGGCATGTCACTTGAGAGATTAAAAATAAAAACGACCCAAAGTTTGTGTGTTTAATGGGGGTGGGGGTGGGGATGGGTGATATGTTCCACAGGAAAGAAACAAATAAATAAAGGTCAGCCAAATGGGCCTAGCCTGGAAAGAGTTAACCCCTTCCTGCCCTTGATATCTTCATCAACCCAAGCACTCTGCAAAATAATAAGCTATCATTTACCAAGGTTCTGCAAGGTAGCATTTAAAGCTGAAGCAGGGCAATAAATCAGGCACATATAATTTGAGCCCTGAAGTATAGTAATTCTTCTTTAAATGCAACATCTGGTATAGATAATACAGTGTGCAGGGCCAGGGGCAGTGCATGCTGGGCAGAGCTCTCATGATTGTGCAAGCAGCGCTTAAAGCCCAATTGCCCTCCCTTCTTTCCAGCAACACCGAGGACTTTAAAAGGACTGTTATTATTATTCCCTTGGCTGGCCAAAAGGGGAGTCGAGTTAATTATAGACTTGTTTGCCGGTTATTAATTAAACCCCAGCTAAACATAAAAACACAGGGGAAGTGCCATTTCCCGCTCTGTGCTCCTAGTCTCTAGCTGGGCGGCTGACGTTTCTGCCTTTGCAGTCCACTCTGTGTCCTGTTTCCTCTGCGGATTTTCTCAGGAGGGTCCCAGGGCCTTTGCCCTGCGTGCAAACACAATCTTATTTTTGGCTGGGAAGGAACACAAAACCGAACACTCTGAAGTGGCAGGGGGACAATAGGAGGAAGCTTACAGACACTGACTGGTCAATGACACCCAGGGCTCCAGGGACTGCCACACCTTTTTGCGCCTGCAGCCTCCAAGTCCACAGGCCTCCACGGTTTTTGATCTGATGTCTCCAGCTTTGCCTGTACCCTTTCTATGAGGCAGCTCTACAGAGAGCTAGGACAACTGTCATGGCAGACAGACCAGAGCTCCCAACTTGTCCCACTTAGTGCCCCGACACTGAGTGAGTTACTTCACCTCTCTGTGCTTCCGTTACTTCCTCTCTAAAACGGGAGTACCAAATGCACCCACCTCCTAGGTGTGCTATGGGACTTACATGAGCCAAGGCTTGTCAAGTACTCAGCAATGTGCCCGGTACATGGCTGCTAATAAATAAGCAGTTACTTTCCCTCATTCTTCCTTTCCTCTAGGAAGACAGACTTCATGTCTGTATCTCCCACATTCTGAAAGGCCCTAGACCCACCAAGGTGGCACAGTGGTAACATAAAGCTCCACAATGCTTACCCCATATGGGAAGGTCCCAGGTTCCCATCCCAATGTCATCCTGGACACTCTGAGCACACTTGAGCCTGTGATCTGAGCTGGCTGAAACTGGAGGTAGATCATGGCCTAGAGATCATGTTGGAAGCATGCTCTCTCTCTCACACTATCTGAAACATAAACATGGATATATAGATAGATAGATATAGATAGATAGATAGATGATATAGATATAGATATAGATATAGATATAGATATAGATATAGATATAGATAAAACTCATGGTGCACCTGGGACCTTGGGATGTCTCAACATGTTTCTAACCATCTCTCTCAACTCTAAAATGGCCACCAAGGAGAATTAAATCAGATAATAGGAGCAGCCCAGTGACAAGTTCTGACCAGATGTTTAATATATGTTAGTTACTGAATTTTAGAATCTGAAAATAATCTTGAGTATAATTAGAGAGGGGGTTATCAAACCAGTGTCTGTGGCACAGAAGAGATATCAGTCACTCACACAAAACAAGCCTCATTTCCTGCTCGAGTTGAGACTAGATTACCAAGTCAAGAGCCTCCCATAGCTCTAATGCCAAGCCATGAGGGAATTTGCCAGATTTCTTGGCAAAATTTAAGTATATCATTTAGCCTTTCTAAAATCCCCCAGTGGGCATGTTCTCTACTAGTCCATGGAGATCAGTGGCCATTACTGTCTGATGAACCTTACCTAGGCTATTTTCCTGGACAAGAAATGACAAGGGTAGAGCCCTCCGACCACCAGTGATTTCCCTCAAAACAAGATTTTTCAATGTCAATAGTCATGTGGATGTAAATAGGAAGCCTTCCAGGGAAATTGGCAGCTTAAATAGAACTTGAGGGAATTCAGGATGTCACTTCCAGACTCCAAGCACAATGCACTTTGTACATCCTCATATTGCCCAAGCAAACTAAAGTCTGGATTCAGCATTAGAACATCCCAATCCTGGCCTTCAGAGCACGTGTGACAGCACAGTACAGCCTGCACTGGCGTTGATTTTGTAGCTGATGTTCATGGACCTTCATTAGCATCATTCAGTTCTATGCCAACACTTATCCTCTTGTTTTTATTAGGTTGCAGGTGTATTATTTCACTTATTGCTCTATCTTCCACTCATATCTTAATAGCATTTTGGGCTCAAGTCCTGGTTCTTCTGCTAAGATCCCCGTGACATCAATGCTGGTGATAAAACAGTGAACTAGACCTATGAGACCTCTACACTAGTGACTAAACACATAATTACAGCTCTTCCACTACTATTTCACTCAGTACTGGGTACTACAAGATTATATAATGGAAAAACTGGCTTTCGTGTCTTAACTCACCTACTAAAAACCCATCTCAGGAGCAGTGTACAAATTATTATGACTATGTAAAAAATATCAACACTGTCTCTGCTATGTCTGATATCAAATATCTTTGACATCAGGACAGGACAGTGTTAACTCTCTTCTTTGCATATCATCTGTATGTTCCTCATTTTCTATGATAAACCTATTGCTCATATAACTAGAAATAGTACTTTTTTTAAAAGAAAAGCATAGATCTTATCTTTTGTGATGGTGCTTGCTCAAATGAGGTCATAAAAAGGAGATCTTCCCCATACAGGCCCTGGTCCTGGGTATGACAAACTTGATGACCAGAATATCCATAACAGATGGGCCTCCTGTGAGGTCCAGGAGAGGCCTGAGCATAGCAGGTCAGGAATAAATAGATAAGGATGTCCAAGGTGATCCCAAGTGAATGACTACCTTGTCTGACCTCCTAGGTTATCTGACTTAGTCCCTCCAATTGTTTGCATACACATACACGGGCATTTCACTTCCTCCCATGTCCTCACACTCTCCTCCATCAACCCAGTCCCCACCAGTCCTAATCTCAAGGTAAATACCTACCATATATTAGGCTGTCGGGAAAGTCATGGCAGACCCAATGTTCTGTTGTTTGCCAAATAGAATTCTGTAGATATCGACTGCTAACTTAAATTATTTATCCTCTCAAACTACTCTAATTTGTAAGTGGACAATAATTGTGATTATTGTCTGCATTAAAGGTAATGACACATATATGGCCTGACATATACTGGGTGCTCGGGAAATTGAAAGAGTTCTTCCATTTTCTTCTTTCTCTTCCATTAGGAGAGGTCTTCATTTTACAAGATGAAAGCATTCTAAGAGCCTGGCAGGAGGTTGCTGTCGAAGGCATGCTCTGCTCTGTCAGTATGCAGCATAGTCTTGGCTCCAGGGACTTAAAGCAAAAAAAGAAAAATGACTGGCATGCCCTCACTCCCCATTTCCCATTGCTGTTCATGCCTTACCAATTGCATGAAGAGTGGCCAAGGGCGGCAAGAGTAGTACAGGAAGGTTTTATGGTTTTTATTTGCAGCTCTGACTAATTTAATAAGAAAAAAACCTTTTCTCCATTTTCCCAAAGTTGAGTAGTGATGCATTTGCAGTTCTCTTTAAATAGGAAAACTTGAAGTGGGCAGCCAAAGTACAACTTGACTGTTGAGTTCAAAGTTTTAAATAGCCAATGATTATAGTATTGCCATATCTCCCAGATCTAGACATGCAAAATTTTGGCAAAACTTAACTCCAGGAGAAACTTTACTTACCCCCAAGAGCTGGCATGCTTCTCTCTGGTAATAGGAAAGACATGTCCCAATCCCTTCCCGGTACCCAGTTTTGCGCTAAGTGTCAGATGGCTGGGGACGAGACAGTGGCAACCTTGCCAGTGAAGTTTGCAGATGACCCTTTGCCTATTAGATGTTATCAAATTAGAATGCC